AAGTAGTCTCTTGTATTCAGGTGACTTACTATCTGTCCTTATCCCTGATATAAACTCTGCCTGTTTCCTTTTCCTTAACAACTGCTGGCTCATCATCCTCTATATGTTCAACCACGAGCGGAAGTGGAACAGGAATCTCTTCACACCAAGATTTCCCCTAAAGGGATGACTGCGATACCGGAGAGGTCGGAAAGTAAGGCTGAGACTCAAAGAAAGTGACATCCATGAAGACAAACCTTAGTTGCACGAAGTGGGAGCGGGGGCGGGGGCGGAAGTAGGAGCGAGGAAGCGGGAGCTGATAGAAGTTTCTTAAGTTGGGAGCGCCTCGAGAAGCAATAATATATATATATATATATATATTTTTTAATACACATTAGAATTTTTTTATAAATATTTTTATTTTAATACACATTAATTATTTTTTTTATTTATTACATTTTTTAAATAATGTGTTATTGTTAATTTATTTTTATTTTATTTTACATATATGTGTGTGTTTTTTTTATTAATATGTATAATATATACTCATATATATATATATATTATATATATTATAAAGATTATATATATTAATATTTTTATTTTTTTTATTATATATTTATATGTATATATATGATATATATTAAATAATAATGTGTTAATGTTTTTTATTTTTTTATTTTTTAAATATATATATTTATTTAAAGATTTTATATGTTTTATCTTATATATATATATATTACTTATATATTAGATACATATCGTGACAGAAGGCCAGAGAGAGAGAGAGAGCGCCAGTGAGAGAAGGCAGAGACGAAGGCAGAGGAGACGATGACGATCAGCGAGGAGGCGATTTGTGAGAGAGAGAGAAAGACGATCTGCTAGAGAGACAGAGACAAACTGCGACAGAGACGAAAAACACAGAGTGAGAGAGAGAGAGAGACGAACTGCAATAGAGACGAAAGACAGAGAGAGAGAGAGAGACGACCTTCGAAGTGATGAAAGAAGAAGAAAAACGAAGCAAAGGACATCCCAGACACAACCTTCAGGTTCTTCTTCACCTTCTTTCTCCTCTCTCTCTTTGTTGACCAACAAGCTAGGGTTTTTGTTCTTCTTCACCAACGATCCCATCTTGGACAGGATCGCGTTTCTCTCTCTACAGAAACGCGATTCCTACACGTTTCTTTCTAAGAAACGCTTACGAAGATTCGTCACATATTAGCACGATTCCTGCAACTACGAGACAAACCATTTGCGAGTGGGAGGATGATAACACTTATAACCTTTTTTAGTGGCAGAATAACCCAGAAAAACACACGTAAGGGACCGAGGATCGAATTTACCACGAGTGGGCGAATGATTATGGACAAAGCAAACATAGCCAAAAGTCTTATGAGAAATGAAAAACTCGGAAGAGATCGACCCGAACAAAACTTGAAGAGAGGTTTGTTTCTGAAGGACTTGGGTAGGAAGTCGATTAATCAAATATGCGGCAGTGAGAACCGCTTCTCTCCAATAGGATCGAGGAACCCGTATCTCAAAGGATAGACAACGGGCGACATCAAGGAGATGGTGATTTTTGCGTTCTGCAACACTATTTTGTTGAGGAGTATTAGTGTATGAAATCTGGTGAATAATGCCATGAGTGGCGAAGTAAGTGGCAAGACCAGAGTCAATATATCCCCCCCATTATCAGAATGTAGAATTTTGACAACCACCCCAAACTGAGTACAAACCATGTTATAGAAGTTTTGAAACACAGAAAATATCTCACTTTTATCTTTCATCAAATAGACTCAAGTGGCCCGGGAACAATCATCTATGAAGGTAACAAACCATTTTTTACCGATTAAAGACACAAAAAGGGATGGACCCCGTACATCAGAATGAATCAAAGAAAATGGAACAAAACTTTTATTAATAGAAGGAGCAAAAGAGGCTCTGTGTTATTTCCAAGTTGACAAGACTCACATTGAAAATCTAACACATTATTTTTCTCATACACAGAAGAAAATAAATGCTTAAGTAATAAAAAAAAAAAGAGATGTCCTAAGCGACGGTACCACAGCCAGATGTCTTCCTTGGTGGATAGCTGAATAGATGAATGAGCCAGCTTATCGGTCTGATCCAAAATGTAGAGACCATGTTCCTCTCTAACACTGCCAATCCTCTTCCTCATGATGAAGTCCTGAAAAAGACAATGATCGGGAAAAAAATATCACGCTACAATTTAAGTCACGGGTAATGCAACTCAAAGATAAAAGACTAACATCAAAATTTGAAACATGGAGGACAGTGGACAAAGGAAAGGCAGAGGTAGCATGAATTAAACCTTCCCCTGACACAAATGACATAGTACCATCCGCAATACACACTTTTTCCTGACCTGAGGAGGGGTTATACTTTGAAAACAAATTAGAGGAGCCAGACATAGCACCAGAATCAATAATCCATAGTACAGTCGTATGAGAGAGCAATGCATATGGAGAGGAAGCCAAGTTACATGAATTGGAAAAAAAAGAAGAGGGTGCACTTGTAGTAGAAGTGGAGGCGTGACGGTCTAGCAAGTGGCGAAGAGCAATCTCAAAATCCGAGGCAGATAACCCCGAAACATCAGTAGCGGTGGAGACAACTGGAGATGAAGATAGTGACTCAACAGTGTCTGAAAGATGTGCTTGTGCATTAGCCCCTTGGCCTCTAGATTGACCAGACCTACCGCCTCGAGTACCAGGACGGTCTCCGCGGCCACCAGAGGGGGTTCCATGCAGCTTCCAACAAGTCTCTCGTGTGTGGCGAGATCTACGACAGTAGTCACAGAAAAGATTATCCTTCTCAGAGGAAGGACGAGGACCACGAGTCACACGGTCGCCATCTCGAGGGGGTGCAGAAACCAAGGTCGAACGATCAGTAGTAAGAGAAGGAAGCATCGCAGAGCGATGACTCTCCTCATTCTGCACAAAAGCAAAGGCTTCCTGGAGAGAAAGAAGCACATCCATGCCAAGAACTCTGCTCCGAACCAGATCATACTCCACATCAAGGCTTTCTAAGAACTTGAAGACCCTTTCTTGCGCCACAAACATTCAGTAACCGGCAGAATCAATGGGACATACAGGCTTATAAACCTGAAAGTGATCAAAGCGCTTCCACCCACTACTAAGGAAGGTAAAATACTGAAGAATAGTCATCTCACCTTGGACTGACCATTCAATGGAGCGACGTAACTCAAAAGTCTATGAGAAGTTCCCCTTCCGAGAGTAAGTGGTAGTCACGGCCTTCCAAATATCCTGGGCAATGTCCATAGAGAGATAGCCCTCTCCAATCTTCGGGATCATAGAATGGATCAACCAACCCATAATGAGGGAGTTGGTGATCTACTAATCATAACTCGGGTCAGTGGTGATGGGTGCCTGTATTCGGCCATCAACATACCCTATCTTCCCTCTGCTCTTCAAGAAAATAGTCAGACTCTGCGACCACGCTAAATAGTTCTAACCATTGAATAGAGAAGTGGTGATTTTAAGGCCAAGGTTGATATTATCAGTCATAGTAGAAGGATAAAGGAACTCTCGCTCTTTGGCGACTGAGAAGTTGTGGACTCACTAGTGAAATCTACCATGAATAGTCTACTAAGAAACCCTTAAACCCAATACCAATCACAAACTCAGAAAATGGATGAGGAAAGCACACTATGACCACAAAAAGATCATCAAAAGAATAATAATTGTCTTGTTTGTTCGTTTTTTTTATTTTTTTTATTTTTATTTTTTTTAATGGATCACCATTTTTTTTAAATATATATATAGATAACTAGGTCGACACCATTAACAACTGCCTACAGCAATACAAGAAAAAAGAGAGAAGAACGAACTGTGGCAGAAACAGAGTCGACTGAGAGAGCCGACCGAAGCCAAGGAGTCAAGCAAGACCCCGACAGAGGCCAAGAAAGCCCGAGAGGCTGTCGACAGGCCCCTAGGGTGCCAGAAAGGCTGCTGACAGACTCCCTAGAAGACTGGGTGACTGTCGATGGTTTGGGTGAGGCTGTGGATGACAGTCAATCGCCTAGGTGAGGGGCTACGGGGCTGACTGAACTCCTGGGAAAAAAGACCTGCCGGCAATGATGGTAGGGTCCTTGCCGACAAAACAGAAGAAGGTATGGGCTAGGATTTTGGCTTTGATACTATGTAGTTTTAGAGAAGAGAAAGAGTTAGGAAATGAGGTAGACTTCATTCCCTTTTATATTGATAATACTGAGTAATTATAGGAGTGCCGTAAGGCATAATATAAGGAAACACAATCACGTACTTCCTATTCAAACTTAATTCCACTTAGAAAATATGAGGAAGAAGAACTCCGAAAATATGAGGAAGAAGGAATATATTTCTGTTATATTCAAAACTTCTTATTTTACAAGACCAAATGACACTCCTTATATAGGAGATATTACAAACATCATTATAACCCATTATATGCCACTTACATATTATATATTACCACTATCTACCACTATCATATTATATACATGCCACTATCTACCACCAACACCACTATCATATTCTATACATGCCACTATCTACCACCAACACCACTATCATATTATATGCATTAACACAAATTTCCAGCTATTCTAACAAGTATATTCGCTAGTTAGCATTGTTATAAAAAAAATCAATAAATTAGAAAAGCATGTGAAAACAGAAATGAAGCAGGCACAAACAAACATGACACTGACAAATAAAGAAATATTAAATCTTCTTTCTTATTTAGTTATGTTAGTATCTCTAAGTATGCAATAATGCAAACATAATCACTAGTTACAAGGGTGCAATGGGAATACAAGAAAGAACAATATCATATGTTTGGTTTGTTCCAAAAGGCAACACCCAACTTCCATGTATTCAGTATTTTAGTATAAATGAGGCCCCAAACCACATCCTACCAATTATATTTTATAAAGAATATCCAGATTATAGCAAAATAATGAGGGGAAAAAAATGTATACATAACCATGAATGCATCCAAACCTTTTCAGCATTAGCTTGGGCTTCACAAGCTTTGGTGTGCTCGCCAGCATTGAAAGCATTTAAATCAAAATTTTCTGATGGAGATTTAGTGGACCACAGTCGAAGGTTAATTGTGGTTCTAGTTTTATATCCCGGTATTGGGACATCATACGCAACAGCCTTTATGTCTTCTCCACCAATCCAGTGTCTTTTTTCATCTGATCCCACCACAACCTTGCCATAAAACTTCACTGGATGCGAGACATCATTTCTCACAATCTCCCAGGGATTGCCCATCTGCAAGGAGAAACTGAAATTAACTGGAAGACAAAAAAGATTTACATTATGAAATAACTCAAGACAATAAAAATAGATAAAGCTATTAAAATTTCAAAATAGCTAAATATAGGTTTAACATAAAACAAAGTGAAAATACTGAACAAAAGGAAATCATACTTCAAGCCAATCTTCAGCAACTTCCTCCTGGCCATCTTTTGTAATCAGTTGTTTAAATAAGCCATGTTTGTATCTAAGACCATAACCCCATGCTGGATAATTTAATGTTGCCAAAGAGTCCAAAAAACAGGAAGCAAGACGACCAAGACCTCCATTTCCAAGTGCAGCATCTGGCTCCTGTTATTGATCAACCAAAGAGTTAACCGCTACAACCAAAAAGGGGGAGCGTTCACCATTTTTTTTTTTTTTTTTTTTCTGTGCATAGTAAAGAGAAGATATTGATTTAAGAAGCTTTGCAGCTTGTTGAGGCTAAACAATGGACAGTGCACAAGGCTTCACAATATCAAGAAAAATGTACAATACAAGCACATCAAACAAAATGAAAATATAAAGGAAATCTGACCTGCCAAGCTACATTCTCAAGATTGTGCCCAAGCTTGCACAAAGCCTCTCCATAAGCATCTGTCAGTTCTAAATTACCAATGGCATTTAACAAAGCTCTTCCCTACAAAGGTAGATCATGTTGCAATAGTAATGAACTGCAAAAAAGTATAATCCAAATGTACAATAATGAAACAGTAATGGACTGCAAATGCTGTGGTTGGTGAAACAGAAATGGATTGTGAAGGTGTCAATTGTGGTATGCAATCAAGATGCCCAAGTCAAACCTGTAGAAATTCCATTGACAAATAGTATGCCTGCTTTACATTCATCTTTTCATAGTAATTATATGTTGCATTCCAATTAATGATAAGTGCATCACGAACACTTTGTGCTGTTGCAAAGAAAGCCTTGGGTAGCTCAAATCGCTCCGGAGAAAACAATGATGTGAACTCTGCATGGTATTTGATACTCGACGCAATGGATGCAGCATCAAGAGTGAAAGAAGTCACGTTGATTGCAGCACCTAAATCATCACGCAAAAATCAACAAATAAACTATATAAAGTCCAGAATAATATGCTTTTATTTTTGTTTTGATAAGTAAGAAAGAAAATTTCAATAAAGAAATCAGCAAAAGGGGCACAACCTTGTGCACACAGAGTATACCGATCTACTAATATTTGGCAACAACCATAGTAAATCTCATTAAGACGGACAGAACATAACATGTACCGTAACATCCCTAATTTGAGTGTTAAACGAATCAATTCATAGGGTTGATATTTCCCACAACAATTGACTTGTATTGCTCTAATTATAGACGTTAAGAATTACTCATAATGAGCACCACAAATCCACCTGAAAATTTGACAATGTCAAAACTTAATGAAGTATACACTTTTAGGTAACAATCAAATATTGGCATATTAACATCAAAAAACGATCAGGCCTCATCAACTGATGTATCCCATTTTAAATCAACAACATTAAGAAAGAAACCATGTTTGATTATGTAATTGCGAACCAATCCACTTTCAAACACTTTACATCCTAGAAGGATAATTCACCATCCAACGATGTTGTTTGAAAATGAATGGCGAAATCATCTAATTAAATGACTTGTGGTCTTTTTTATCAGATGGTTGGTCCCAATCCTTTCATGTTCCAAACATCGTAAAATGTGAATTTCTAAAATAAAATAACAGTCTGACAGATGTAGTTTATTAGAACAAAGAAATATTTTTTTTTTAATGATCTGTTACTTTTTCATGCCATGTTAATATTAAAGAGATTGAGTTCAGACCCAATATCTAATTAATCCCATTTAGTATTTCAAATGACAGAATGCAACATTTACTTGCTCTTTTTTCAAGTAAAAGTGAGATTGGAAGACTATCGAAACAAGTTCATTTTTTTTTCTCTCTACTTTAAGATTAAAATGAGATCCATTAGATGGTCAATTCCAATACTTGTCCACATGATTTTGTATCCAAGTCAGAGCCCATTATAAATTATTCCCTAATCTAATCAGCATGGACTATAATATAACAGTTTATCTTAAATCAGTAATATTGATTTGTATTCCTTGGCTCCAATCGCAGGCTTGCAGATATTAATAAAATCATTTGGACGCTTACTTCCCAACTAAAATTATTTTCTAAGCTCACGTAATTCCAAACAAGACTTTAAAATTCAATTAGTATTGACAAAATAAAACTTCAAAAAACCATGTTTAACTGTATTATATAAAATTCCAAGTGTGTTTTGAATATAAACTGAAAACATTGAAAACGGGCTAGATTGGAAATCATAAGTTTATATTTATAAAAATTTTAAAAATTGTCTTGATAATTTTTTTAAATTATAAATAATTGTCTCAATTTATAAATTTGAGGGGAAACGTAAATTCATTTAAAAATATGACTACCAAACTTTTTTTTCAAATAATTCTTTTTTTCAATTATGATATATATATGATCTCATTATCATAAATAATAAAAAATAAATATTTTAAGTATGAATAAATATATTTTTTAGTTTATGTTTTTAAAATTTTTTAAATGAAATGCGTTTATAATTTATATTTTTTAAAAAATAAACAAAAATTAATTTATAAAACTTTTGTAAAGATAAACCAAAAAGGTAAACGTTATCAAACACAAACAGTACCTAATAATCCAAACTACTACTTCGATTTAGTATTTAATAAAAAATTTAAATAATTAGATATAAAAAAAAAAATTTAAAAAAACAGATTCCAAAAGAAGAACAAACCTTCGTCGGTGATCGGATCCTTGAGTTTATGGTTTGGGTCGCTCGAGACATTCTTAACCGTGAAAGACCGCTTTAATCTCCGAAAACAGGAGGTTCGGATGAGGAACAAATTGGAGGACCTTATTCGAGAGCTGAAGTGGATGCATCTTGAGATTGAACTGAAATGCGAGAACGACTCTGTTTTAGTTGAAGTTGCAGAGAACGGTAAGGTCGCCATTGTTATCTCTCTGTCTCTCTCTCTGTCTCTCTCTCTCTCTCTCTATATATATATATATCTTCTGCGAGATCAGATCAGACTATGGAGGAGATAGTGGACTACGTTTGTCTTCTTCTTATATAATTCATTCATTGAATTCATACTTTCATCAAATAATTCAATTCATTCATTGAATTCATACCTTCATCAAATCACGAGATTGCTCTCGTGCCATGTTGTTATACGCTCTCACTCACTCACCAGTTTATTGAGGGAAACTATTCGGTGTTGCGGGACTACCCACAATTATTAGAGTAACTATTTTTTTTTTTTAATTACCTAACGAGTAATGTTACTATGCTAGACACTCTAAAAAATTTTAGGACGGATTGCATTAATAATCTTTATAGTTTAGGTCTCGTGTTATTTTAGTTTATGACTTTTTAATTATGACATATTTGATTTGAATTTTAAATCTTGTTCTAAATAAGTACAATTGAATATATCATTGCTTAATTTTAAGGGCAAAATTATCAATTTGATAAAATATAAACTAATTTAACAAAAATAAATGTCAAAAAAATATTTTAAAATTTTTAAAAATTATTTTTACCCACCAAAAATAAAATTATATAAAATTAATAAATCTTTTAGATATTTTTTTTAACAATTTAATTTTTATTTGGTATTTGGATAATGATCATATAATGAATGATTGTTAGGATTTTAATGTGTAATCGATATATATATATATATATATGAAATGTTTTTAGAATTTTTTAATTTAATGGATTGGTTTAATAACGATATCAAAGTTATCGTCATATTTGACTATTGGAAAAATAGAAATTAATTTAATAAAAATAAAAATAATCACTCAATACATGATCATCTAAATAAAAATTAATTTAGTAAAAAAAATATCTAAAAGATATATCAATTTTACATAATTTTATCTTTAGTGGGTAGAAATAATTTATAAAAATTTAAAAATATTTTTTTGACATTTATTTTTATCAAATTAATTTATATTTTATCAAATTGATGATTTTGTCTTTGAAATTAAGTAATAGTATCTTCAATTGTCCTTATTTTGAACAATATTCAAAATTCAGGATCAAATGTATCACAATTGAAAAGTCAAGAATTAAAGTGACACAAATCTCAAACTATAAGAACTATCAGTGTGATTCACCCAAAATTCTATTAAAATTTTTATTAAATATCTCGTATAAACGTGGGATCCACATGAGACCCACATGGTGGAAGTCTTACATCCATGTGAGACATTTAATAAAAATTTTGATATAACTTTTGGATCTCTAGTATTTTCTTATCTAATATCGTCATATTTGTAAAAAAATTTAAAAAAGATAGGTAAAATATAAATGAAATATATTTATATTTTACTTATATTTTACATATATTTTTTTTTATATTTCAAAATCTCTATTTAAATTTATGAAACAAGTATAATCTTAAAATATATATAAATAAAAGAGTATTAAAGTTTTACATGACAATAAACATTTTTATTTTCCTATTGAAAATTTTACTTGAAACAATGAAACAAATAATTAAGGTTCTTGACAACACAAAAATTAAGTAATTTGTTGACTTGGTTTATTTGAATAATATGATCTCTTTACTTTTACATGCCTTTTGTAATAAATAAAAAAATAAACTATACCTAAAAAAAAGAGTTCGCATTGAGCAATGTCGTATGGCAAAGTTTTCAAGTTTATTTTTGAACTAAGTTCAATAATTTTTTTTTTAGTTGAAATTTAAAGTGACACAAATCTCAAACTATAAGGACTGTCAGTGTGATTCACCCAAAATTCTATTAAAATTTTTATTAAATATCTCGTATAAACGTGGGATCCACATAAGACCCACATGGTGGAAGTCTTACATCCATGTGAGACATTTAATAAAAATTTTGATATAACTTTTGGATCTCTAGTATTTTCTTATCTAATATCGTCATGTTTGTAAAGAAATTTAAAAAAGATAGGTAAAATATAAATGAAATATATTTATATTTTACTTATATTTTACATATGTTTTTTTTTTATATTTCAAAATCTCTATTTAAATTTATGAAACAAGTATAATCTTAAAATATATATAAATAAAAGAGTATTAAAGTTTTACATGACAATAAACATTTTTATTTTCCTATTGAAAATTTTACTTGAAACAATGAAACAAATAATTAAGGTTCTTGACAACACAAAAATTAAGTAATTTGTTGACTTGGTTTATTTGAATAATATGATCTCTTTACTTTTACATGCCTTTTGTAATAAATAAAAAATTAAACTATACCTAAAAAAAAGAGTTCGCATTGAGCAATGTCGTATAGCAAAGTTTTCAAGTTTATTTTTGAACTAAGTTCAATAATTTTTTTTTTAGTTGAAATTATTTATCAGTCCTATCAGTTGGATTTACAACTTATTTTTTATGAACATATTACTCTTTAAATTTGGGAATCATTAGAAAATATGTGAATTTGTTGTAAGAATTAACGTAGTAAATTGAGAATCATGGATTGAGTTGTGAGAGGTGTTTGTCATCTCTTAAAAAGTTAAAAAATCACTATTTTATTTAAGTTACATCACCTCTTTATCATATCATTTTAAACTCAACCCATATTCAATTCATATTTCATAAAAAGTCAAAAAAATATATTTATTTAAAACATTTCAAATAATCCCTAAAACAAGAAACGTGTTACGTGAGCCTAATAATATAGAACAAGCAGAACTTGATGGGTATTAGATCCCATCAATAGAATCAACTCATAAATCTCCATTTTCTTTTTAACAAGAATAGTTTGCAGGCCAAAAACTTAGGTTCAATTCTTGACCAATGATGGGTTGACTCTTATGGACCAACTGGCTAGCCCAAAGATTTAGCCGTAGCAGATTGAGATTAAAAGTTTATTTTTAAAATTTTAATTTTTTTCTCATATTATTCTCATATTTGGTATCGGTCTTGCCGATCATGGGCCCTCTTACAGCCAATGGGCCATACTTCAAACCTCAAGTTCGGGTACGAATTTGTCAAATAAAAGTCCGTCAGACTAGACGGACTTCGAGAGACCCGTGGACATACAGGCCCAATACGACTCAAAGCATCAATCAAAGCACATTGGGGGCGTTTGGTAAAACTTATTTTCAACTTAAATCAGTTTTTGGCTTAAATTAAGTTATATTGGTGTGTTTAGTACAGCTTGTGAGGATAGATTATGGCTTAATTTAAGCCAAATTTCAGTTTAAATTGAAAGTTGCTCCGCAGGTGCTTAAAAATATAACTTATGCATGCAGCTATTTTGGGAGAGGCAAAATGACTTAAATGTCCCTTCAAAAATTGAAGAAATACCAAAATGCCAATATATAAACTTTACTTTTGTTAACTGTTCACATCCACGGAGATAGAGAGAGAGAGCTCGGGGCAATTTTCAGCAGCCTGAGAGGCGATTTCCGGCGATAATTTCTAGAGATTTCCGATGATTTCTCTCTCTCTCTATCTCTATCTCTATCTCTCTCTCTCTGGCGAAGCTCGCGAAGCTCTGTTATCTCCTGTCTCTCTGTCTGAACCATCGCGATCTCTCAACGCCATCGTCGCCATCGCGATCGCGAAGCTCTGCCTGAAGCTCTGTCGTCATCGCGATCTGAAACCCTAGCGCCGGTCATCGCCGCTGTGCTACCGGAGCTAGGGTTTTCAAACCCTAGAAAATAAAATTGGAAAAAAAAAGAGAAAAAAATCAACATTAAAAATAATTTATTTTAGAATTAATATTTAATTTTCAAAATAAAATGAAAAACAATTTATTTCAAAAAAAATAAATATTAAAAAAATAATAATTAAAAACAAAAATATTAATTATTTCGATTAAATATCAATTTAAATAAATTTATTTCGATTAATATCAATAAATAATAATTAAAAACAAAATAATAAAATTAATAGTTAAAAACAAAAATAAATTTATTTGGTAATTTCTTTACCAATTTAAAACAAAAATTAAAAACAAAAATAATCAATTCAAATAAATTGCACAATTTAAATAAATTTATTTCAATTAATATCAATAAATAATAATTAAAAATAATAATGATTAACAATTGATACTATTAATGAAAATAATGATTTTTGTAATACTAATTATATTAACTTTTATTAATGAAATAATCTTTGTTATTGTAATTGATATTAATGAAAACAAAACAAAATAATAAAAAAATGATAATGATTAAATTGCACAATTAAATAATAAATTAAATAAAATGAAATAATAAATTAAATAACTTCTATTAAATGAAAAAATATAATTGACAAAATAAATGACACTAATTTTATAGTGACACTAATTTCAGTATTTTTATATTAATTAGTATTGACACCTAATTCATTTGTAATGAAAAAATGAAAAAAAATTATACTAATTGATACTATTATTAATTTTAGTATTAATTGATGGTAATTAAGCCATCAATTGACACTAATTAATTTGTAATGAAAAAATGAAAAAAATTATACTAATTGATACTATTATTAATTTTAGTATTAATTGATGGTAATTAAGCCATTAATTGACACTAATTAATTTGTAATGAAAAAATGAAAAAAATTATACTAATTGATACTATTATTAATTTTAGTATTAATTGATGCAAATTATATTAACTTTTATTAATGAAATAATTTTTTTAAATTTAAAACTGAAAAAATGACAAAATAATCATTTTTATATCATATAAGGACAAAATGGACAATTATACAGTAAAAAATTATTTTACAGCTTATTAACCAAACACTCTCTACTACTTAAATTCATAATCCCACAATTGTACTAAACAAATTCTTAAATTCATAATCACACAGCTATACTAAACAAGTTTACAACTTATATTCACAACTATAAGTTATAATCTGTTAAATTATAATTTATAATTATTTTTTCACAATCCTACCATGCAGGTCGATTATAGAGTGGGTCTTAGTGGAAGAGCCAGACCCGCCATTTCCCTCACTTGTTAGCTGTCACGTGCGTATACCACGTGCAGATTTTCCACGAGGCCCACGACCATAACCAAAGTGCGTACGCATATACCACCTGCAGCTTTTACACGACACCCACAATAAAGCAACGGTAGTGTTAGCTAAGGTGTTTTGTGTTGTTATAAATAAGTGTATTTTTTTATTTTTATAAAAAAATATATATAAATATAGCGAAAGTGGTTAGAAAAATAGAGGGAAAATATTA